CCTCCCTGTGAAATTAAATTTTGTGTTTCCCAGTACTAATCATGATTGTTTTGATGTCAAGGTTATTGATTATTCAAGCTCTGTTCAATCTCTAGTCTTTCAAAGCTTTTTCTTTCCTAGTGGATAAAATGTTTCAACTTGTGTTTTCTTTAGGAGCATAAATTGGAAAAATTTTCTTCATCCAACTGTTTTTTAGATTTTTAGCCACACAATAACATTTGCGATAACTTCGCCATTCTTGATCTAGTAAATGTCTGAATATTTGACGTCAACTTGATCCAACGTATTTTATTTCTTTGGCTTTTTATAGAGGTTTCTTTTTAACTATTTGTTCATGTAATCTTTTCACCAACTAACAATGAAATTTTATAGTCTTAAATGGATGGTTTGAGGTATATGTTTCTTGTGCATCAAGAATGATGCAATGCACCCATATTACATGAAGAAAAATATAATTTGTGGATCAAAGGCTATGAATTACGAAAAATTTACTCTAATGAGTTTAGCATCTAATATTTATCAAGAAAAATATGCCATGAATATTGTGCTTCTTGAAACATAACCAATAGACCATCATAAACATTTGTCACTCCATTTGATTATATCTCTCTTAAAATTAATCATTGTAAAGAAACTCTTATCATCCCTGATAATTTTATGAAGAAGTTGTAAATATTTGTTGCTGGGAGAGATCACCAAACTTTGAAATGAAGTGCACAAAACACGAAATCATAGAAAACACAAAGAACACCAAGATGTAATGCAGAAAAACCCGAGAACAAGAAAAAATCGGAGTCATATCACACTAAGAAATTCACTATGAAGAATGAGGAGAATTCTATAAATTACATCATACTCTAGCCTCTCCACACTTTGGAACTAAAGAACGTTCATCTTCTTCCTCACACAGAAGAGCATTGAAATCCAACCCTTCGACGCACGCAGACAAATGGACTCAGATTGAACTCAAACTTCCACAGCTAAGCTGAAGACTCAAAGTCTCGAATTGCCAAAAACAGCTGCTGGTACCAGAGGGCCACCGCCGAGCACTGGGTTTCCAGGCACTTGAGTTCAGGGAACAGTTCAGGTGCAGCTGCTCCCCTCTTGAGCACCACAATTTTTTGCTCTCTATTCCAGAAACACATTGTAGGGCGCTTTGGCGCCCCCACTGGCATCATGGCACCACAAGAGGTGTAGAGGCACCCCAACTTTCCACAATCAAGCTTCTCATATAACAATCTCTCACTTGTAGAATGATTGCAATCAATTTCTCTCTAAATTTGTACTATCTTCATAGTGATGTATTGTAGCGTGGCTCAACCTTGTTCTCAATCTTCCTGAACACCAACTGAAACCAAACATAGCTTCATTTTCTTAATTGTAACAATTTGAATCAACATATATGCAGAATTTATATCGTATATTCTCTAAAGATTTTTCATCATTTAAGGGTGAACCAATGAAATAATACGTTAGCTGAATGTGCTCGTCCTGACATGAAATCCAACATTTTTTACTAAATGAATGACACTCATACTGTCACTATGAAATTTTTCTTTCACCTGCTCTTGGCTCAATTCTGCCATAAAGCTCTGCAATCAAATCATTTATTTGCTAGCCTCAGTGTTTTAATAGTTAACAGTACAACAATCTTCTGCAACCTGAAAGTCTAACTCTGTTGTGTTCCCTAAGGTAAAGATGTATCGTGTTGTACTTCTTCCACCATCAATATCTTGTATCAGACCTGAATTTATATATCCCTAGAGATCAATTTCTGCACTTCTAAAGCAAAGTGTAATGTTGATTGTTCCTTTAAAATATTTGAATCCACTTCATTGCGTTCCATTGATGTTTCCTTGGATTACTCTTGTCCCCACTCACTACTTCCGTTACATGTGTAATATCTAGTCTTCTACATATCATTGCATACATCAAAACTTTCAACAACTGAAATAAAAGTGGTTTCTTTCATTTGTACTTGTTTAGCTTCAAACTTAGGCGATTTTTCTTTAGATAGTTTAAAATAACTGGCTAAGGGGTTGCAAACTAATTTTACCTCACTCATGTTGAATATGCATACGATTTTCTCAACATATTTTGTCTAAGACAATTTCAATATACTTATACTCCTATCCCTTTGCTAATTCTCATACTGATGATTTTTTTGTTAGATTTAAATCCCTCATTTCAAACTCCTTTGATAATTTCTTTCAAATTTTTGATCATTTTCATATCTGTTCCTGCAATTAACATGTCATCCATATACAAAAAAGAACAATATATCAATTATGACACTGTTTAATGAAGAATGATTTGTTGACAATTGGTGTATTCATTGCCTAACATAAACATGTCAAATCTCTTGTACCATTGCTGTCATACCTGCTTCAAACCAGAAAGACTCTTCTTCAATCTACAAATCATATCTTCTTTTTCTAGAACTTCATATCCCTATGGTTGCACCATATATAGTTTCTCTTCTAAGTCACCATGTAAGAAGAAGTCGTTAAATTCATTTGCTCCAGATGTACATCTTCCTCTGCTATTTAGTTCAAATTAATTTTGATAGTTGGCATCTTCACTATAAGAGAAATATCTTAGTGTAGTCAACTCTTTTCTTTTGCTGAAATTTCTTCACAACAAACCTTTTCTTGTAGTGCTTACTACCATCTAATTTTTCTTTCAGCCTGTAAACTCACTTGTTGTGCAGTTCTTTTCTGTTATTTGGTTGTTTTTCCAATTCCGATGCCTAGTTGACATTAGTAACCGAATCTTGTCATCCATGAAAAAACTCTCTTTTGAGTCTTCAACTTGAGTGGTCTTATCATACCACTTTTGTTCACTACGATCAGTTAATAATAGATAGTACAAAAGAGAATATCTCTGTATCGGCTGTGTGATTCTGTCGGCTCTCCCAACTTCTGTAGCAGATGTTTGAGGAATTTCTTATGCTTCATTAGATTGATCATCTTTCATTTCTCCATTTTTTTTATTACCAATGTCTTCTATCTCAGCATATTTGGTGGGGTCTTCAAAAGTGGACAATCATGAGTTCTGTTTCTATCATTGTACATCTCCATTTTATTGAAAGTGACATCTCTATTCCTTATGAATTTTTTATTATGAGTCCCATAATTTAGAGTGAAATTCATCTAAAGTCATACCCAATAAAAGTGCACTTATAGATTTTGAATCAACTTATTTATGAATCTTGCATCATCATTAATACTGAGTCCTATAATTTAGAGTGAAATTCATCTAAAGCCATACCCAATAAAAGTGCACTTATAGATTTTGGATCAACTTATTTATGAATCTTGCATCATCATTAATATATATTATGAACAACCAAATATTTTTAGGTGAGATAGATTTACATCATTGCCGCTCAAAGCTTTTTCAGGTAAGCCTTTATTTAAAGGTACTGACAGACCACAATTTATCAAATAAACTTATGTATTCACTATTTTTTTCTATAATTATTTTGGCAAATCTGCATGTAACCTCATGCTCCTAACTCTTCCTGTAATGATTCTATTCATGTGCTCAAAAACATTTTGCTATGGTGTCCTTAATACAATGAACTGATGTCCGATTTCCCTTGAAGCACAATAACTTATGATCTGATCATGATATATATCATCTGAGACACTTCTACCCGAACATGTCTCATTCTCAGTAATGACTTTCCACGTCTTAAACATGTCAAATACTTCAGATCTATATTTCAATAAGTACACCCATAATTTCTAGTGTAATCATCAATGAAAGTGAAAATATTGAGAACCTTCAACTGATTGAACTAGAGCAAGAGCCCATACATTGGTATACACTAAATTCATATTTGTTGACTTCAGCTTTGCAACCTTTGCTTGCCATATACAAAATCTTTATAAAAATCTAAATCTATAAACTTTATAAACTTTAAACCATGAAGTTTGTTCTTATAAATGAAGAACTTCATACAATTCTCTCTCATATGACCAAGCTTGCGGTGTTAAAGAGATTCATCAACATTTGTTCCAACACCTTTAATGGATTCAACATCTCATTGACCATGTAAATGGTGCCTTCAATGTTGTCTCAAGCCATCATTAATGCCCATTTGGTCACCTTCCACGAATCCCCTGTGAAAGTAGTTACGTACCCTGAACTTGCAAGCTGACTCACAATAACCAATTTTTTCTTCAATATGGAACATGTCTAATTTCATTGAGCTTTCAGAATGATTCATTTGATATCAACATCACTTTTTCATACAATATTGTAGGCCTTATTATCTCTTAAATAGACTTCTCCTAGATCACATTGAGTTTAGTTTTTGAGCACCTCTTTGTTGGGGCAAGCATGAAAAGAGACACATGAGTCTAGTATCCAATTAAATACTATCTAGGAATAAAATAAGAGTCGCATTGGATTTCATCTATGGAGATATTTGTAAAGAGTTTTCTACACGGGCCTCTACCACCAGTCTTCTTTGGAGCATTACAGTCTTTCTTAAAGTGACATGTCTTCCCGTAGTTCCAGCATTACATTTGTTTTTTCTCTCATTGACATGGGCTTTCATCTGCCAGACTTTGATCTTCCTCTTTCTGTATTTCTATCAAGATTCCTTAGTCTAGGAGTAACAATCAGAGCAGAATTTGAAGTTTCACTATTTGCCTTCTTGTGACTTTCTTCATTCAACACTAACCTCACAATATTATTAAATATTCATATTCATATTTATAAATGTCTTTCCCATCCAATACTTTCTCAAGACTATTCATGCATTATAATCTTTTCAAGTAAATCATCATATTTATACATGGTTTGTGTGTCAGTTTGTATGTGCAATGCTTCAGAAGAGATTTTTTTTTTCTTGAGAAACATGTATTTAAGTGTGGTTGTCGTAATTTGCATGAAATAAACAAAATATTATTTAGGTTGGTTTAATTGAGTTATTCTAATGAGGAGAAGACTTCGATGTAGAATCATACTGACGACATAAATGATTTCAGATTTCAGATAGTACATTTCTTGAGAAGAAGGAAGCCCAGAAAATTCTATGCAAACTCTGGAGAGATGATTACTTGGAAATGGAGGTAAAGAAAAAAATTTATTAAATACGCTATTGAATGGGCTGCTAGTAATAAACTACTATCTGATGAGATGAAAATTATAGCCATGATTTGATCATGTTTTTATCATCACCTTCGTTCCATAGAAATGTTTTGCAGATGTTTCAGAAATCTGTTGTCATACTTTTTATTGGACAGTTTTCTTAGGCATGTACAACTCATCGAGTTTAGAAGACTGTTTCCTACGGATTTATGAATTCATTTGCTTTTAACTTTATTATTTGTTGCACTATGATTTTAGTCCTATTGCTTCATTGGAGAGGTTCTAGCTAGGGTTATAAATGAGTCAAGTCGAGCTTGAGCCACCCGCGGCTTGAACTTGGACTTGTTCTTGATTAAACAATTGAGCTTGAGCTCGTGCTCGAGCTTAATTCTACGAGCTTGAGCTAGCTTGTGAGTTTGCTTATTTATTATGTAAGAGAGAACAATATCAATTCGTGCTCATGCTATAATAAAATGACGTATAGAACGAGCACTTAGGAGATAAGTAATAAGAAATTATTTGATATAAAATATAAAATATAATTTTTTAAAATATTTTTAATAAATTAAAGATAAAATATTGATTTTTAATATATTTTGAGCAAATTTTGTTTTAATTATTTTTAAATTAGCCTGCCCACAAGCTAATGACTCGAGTTGAGGTTGGCTTAAGCTTGGCTTGTTAGCTCATCGAGCTTAGTTCAAGAGCCACTTTTCGAGCTGAGCCTGAGCCAGCCTCACTCGGTTACACCTCTTGTTCTAGATTATTATCCCAACGATGTTTCTTATAAGAGAATCTATGGTATAACTTATGTTGAAAAGTGTAGGCTATTGCAAGTTATTTATTGTAAATCAATACCGTATATCTTAACAATTGAACCTTCTAAGGGCGACACCACTGATCTGTTTTCTTCTTGAATTGGCCATCTCTTAACAAAAGAATAGGGGTAAGCATGAAAATTAATTTGATGAAAAAGTCATTAGAACTCATTTATTTGTGTTGAAATTTTAGATCCTTTTTCCTTTTTATCTTTTTGATGCCATTTGTGGTGTTGAAGTTCATTGATGTGTGGCATCTTGTTGATTGATGCAGAAAGTAAATTTGAATGCTGGGGGAAGGACCGAGGTATTTTTGTGGAAAGCGAACAAGAAATTGCTCTGGGAACATGTTTTGAACGATATGTTTCATGCCGCCTTAAATATAAGTCAAAAAATTGCTCAAGTTGCTGAAGAATTTCAGGTTTGTTGGGATGATACCATCTATTTGTTTTTGTCCTGATTCCTTTCATCGTTTTTTTTATTCAAGGTTCCATACTTTTTTTTGCTCACCGCTTCATTTCTTCATCCATGATTTTTTTTCCATACATGATTCTCTGTTAAAATGTTTTGGGCATGCAATTTTCTGAAGGAAGATATGCATCCATACCACAGAATTCTTTTGTATTTTACATATCTAACACGTAGACTTCAGTTTTGACATTCAGACCACCTTATCTATGCATGAGAAGGTGCATTTAAATTTTTAAAAATTAACATGGTGGTATCTTTGAAATGTAAGATTTGAGTGGTATAAATGGAAAAGGCAAAGCTTAGGTTTCCGATATGAAAATATAAGAATTGGTTGGTATGTATGCGTATACCCAAATACGGCCATTTTCTTAGGCATGTACAACTCATCGAGTTTAGAAGACTGTTTCCTACGGATTTATGAATTCATTTGCTTTTAACTTTATTATTTGTTGCACTATGATTTTAGTCCCATTGCTTCATTGGAGAGGTTCTAGCTAGGGTTATAAATGAGTCAAGTCGAGCTTGAGCCACCCGCGGCTTGAACTTGGACTTGTTCTTGATTAAACAATTGAGCTTGAGCTCGTGCTCGAGCTTAATTCTACGAGCTTGAGCTAGCTTGTGAGTTTGCTTATTTATTATGTAAGAGAGAACAATATCAATTCGTGCTCATGCTATAATAAAATGATGTATAGAACGAGCACTTAGGAGATAAGTAATAAGAAATTATTTGATATAAAATATAAAATATAATTTTTTAAAATATTTTTAATAAATTAAAGATAAAATATTGATTTTTAATATATTTTGAGCAAATTTTGTTTTAATTATTTTTAAATTAGCCTGCCCACAAGCTAATGACTCGAGTTGAGGTTGGCTTAAGCTTGGCTTGTTAGCTCATCGAGCTTAGTTCAAGAGCCACTTTTCGAGCTGAGCCTGAGCCAGCCTCACTCGGTTACACCTCTTGTTCTAGATTATTATCCCAACGATGTTTCTTATAAGAGAATCTATGGTATAACTTATGTTGAAAAGTGTAGGCTATTGCAAGTTATTTATTGTAAATCAATACCGTATATCTTAACAATTGAACCTTCTAAGGGCGACACCACTGATCTGTTTTCTTCTTGAATTGGCCATCTCTTAACAAAAGAATAGGGGTAAGCATGAAAATTAATTTGATGAAAAAGTCATTAGAACTCATTTATTTGTGTTGAAATTTTAGATCCTTTTTCCTTTTTATCTTTTTGATGCCATTTGTGGTGTTGAAGTTCATTGATGTGTGGCATCTTGTTGATTGATGCAGAAAGTAAATTTGAATGCTGGGGGAAGGACCGAGGTATTTTTGTGGAAAGCGAACAAGAAATTGCTCTGGGAACATGTTTTGAACGATATGTTTCATGCCGCCTTAAATATAAGTCAAAAAATTGCTCAAGTTGCTGAAGAATTTCAGGTTTGTTGGGATGATACCATCTATTTGTTTTTGTCCTGATTCCTTTCATCGTTTTTTTTATTCAAGGTTCCATACTTTTTTTTGCTCACCGCTTCATTTCTTCATCCATGATTTTTTTTCCATACATGATTCTCTGTTAAAATGTTTTGGGCATGCAATTTTCTGAAGGAAGATATGCATCCATACCACAGAATTCTTTTGTATTTTACATATCTAACACGTAGACTTCAGTTTTGACATTCAGACCACCTTATCTATGCATGAGAAGGTGCATTTAAATTTTTAAAAATTAACATGGTGGTATCTTTGAAATGTAAGATTTGAGTGGTATAAATGGAAAAGGCAAAGCTTAGGTTTCCGATATGAAAATATAAGAATTGGTTGGTATGTATGCGTATACCCAAATACGGCCATGACTTAAATAAGATTTTTTTAGGGGCATAAGGTAAGGGTTAAGAGGCCATATGGGCTTTGAAGGCCTCTATCTGAAGATCAAATCATTCTCAAGCTAAAGCCCACTTGCCAGAGTTGTCGAGTCGAGCTCACCGACTGAAATGGTCGAGTTGAGCCCACCTGCCGAATGGTCGAGCCAAGCCCACATGCCGAATGGTCGAGCCAAGCTTACTCGCCGAAGTGGTCATGCCAGTCCGAGGCAAACGATTTGCTGTAAAATAGCGTCATTTCTTCAAGTTACATGCGTCAATTCTTATTTATGGGCACCGCCTAATACAAAGATTCCACGGACTAACACAATACTTTATGAAATGTAATTTTATATTTCTTTTCTCTCATATGGAAGGGAGGTCAGAGAGAGCTTCCAGGGGATCAGATCGAGGAAGAAAAAGACCTCTGAATCTCTCTCTCTCTCTCTCCTTCTTACCGAGAAGCTGAAACCCTTATCAGATCGAGGAAGAAAAAGACCTCTGAATCTCTCTCTCTCTCCCCCTTCTTACCGAGAAGCTGAAACCCTTTCTTTAAGCTAATTTCTGGCTGCATAATCTTGAGAAAAAATAGAATGAGAAACATGAGCTTAAGAAACCCCTCCATCATCTTCTCCTAGACCTTCATTGTAAAAATTTTACAGGATTGCATGAACTCACTAATAATATTTTTTAAAGGATTAAACATCTTAAAAGGTGCGATAAGCGTGGAGTTCATACTCAAACTCTGTAAGTTCATTTTAGCTTACAGAAGAATAAAAAATAATGGATTACACTAGAGAGTTTGTGACACAAAAGATTAATGAGTTGATGGAATAATTCCTAAAAGCTATACAAGATTCAAGACAAGAAGCTTTTAGAAACCATTACCCATTCATATAGATAAGAAGAGTCAAAGCAAGGACTATCAAGGCAAGTGCCAAGCCAGGGCCTAGAGAGGCTCTTGATCCGAGGCTAAAAGAAGAAAATAGAGGGACAAATCTTACGTCACAAATCGAGAGCCTTATGAATCCTCGGATGAAGGCTCGAAGAAGGAAACAAAGACTGGTGGAGAGCTCATTCTCAAGGGAGATTACAGATGTCGAGACACCTAGAAGGTTCAAGATTCTTTCTCTGAAATCTTATAATGGGAAGTCCGATCCTGTTGACCAGGTATCTTCTTTAAGACAACTACATGTCTTTTAAGGGTAAATGAAGTTCTTAAATATTGTTTATTCTATATGACTTTGAAAGAATCAATCTTTCGTTGGTTCAATAACTTGCCCTGGAGACTTTGGAGCCAGTCCAGTTGCAAGACAGTGTTCTTGTGATCAACTTCTTCTAAGGTATCAGATAGGAGTGAAGCGAAAGAGTAAAATAGTGTCATTTCTTCAGGTTACATGCGTCAATTCTTATTTATGGGCGCCGCCTAATACAAAGATTCCACGGACTAACACAATACTATACGAAATGTAATTTTATATTTCTTTTCTCTCATATCGAAGGGAGGTCAAAGAGAGCTTCCAGGGGATCAAATCGAGGAAGAAAAAGACCTCTAAATCTCTCTCTCTCTCTCTGCTTTATACCGAGAAGCTAAAACCCTTTCTTTAAGCTAATTCCTGACCGCATAATCTTGAGAAAAAATAGAATGAGAAACATGAGCTTAAGAAACCCCTCCATCATCTTCTCCTAGACCTTCATTGTAAAAATTTTACAGGATTGCATGAACTCACTAATAATATTTTTTAAAGGATTAAACATCTTAAAAGGTGCGATGAACGTGAAATTCATACTCAAACTCTGCAAGTTCATTTTAGCTTATGGAAGAATAAAAAATGATGGATTGCACCAGAGAGTTTGTGACACAAAAGATTAATGAGCTGATGGAATAATTCCTGAAAGCTATACAAGATTCAAGACAAGAAGCTTCTAGAAACCGTTACCCGTTCATATAGATAAGAAGAGTCGAAGCAAGGACTATCAAGGCAAGTGCCAAGCCAGGACCTATAGAGGCTCTTGATCCGAGGCTAAAAGAAGAAAATAGAGGGACAAATCTTACGTCACAAATCGAGAGCCTTATGAATCCTCGGATGAAGGCTCGAAGAAGGAAACAAAGACCGGTGGAGAGCTCATTCTCAAGGGAGATTACAGATGTCGAGACACCTAGAAGGTTCAAGATTCTTTCTCTGAAATTTTATAATGGGAAGTTTGATCCTGTTGACCAGGTATCTTCTTTAAGACAACTACATGTCTTTTAAGGGTAAATGAAGTTCTTAAATATTGTTTATTCTATATGACTTTGAAAGAATCAATCTTTCGTTGGTTCAATAACTTGCCGTGGAGACTTTGGAGCCAGACCAGTTGCAAGTCAGTGTTCTTGTTATCGAAAAGAGGACAAGGTGAGAGTCAACTTCTTCCAAGGTATCAGATAGGAGTGAAGCGAAAGAGTTTGGTGGCCCTTGTACATCACGATCTCGCTGTCGCTAGCCGGAATAGCTCTAATTGAGACTGTATCGCAAGGGTTTGATCACTAAGGCGACTGTTCTGGGCGGAACCTTGAGAAAGGGAGGAGGGGGAGAGCGCAAAGGGTTTTGACAGACGGTTGTAGAAGGAGGCGAGTGAAGTGCCCTATCGTCGGCATTAGTCTTCCTTAAATGCCGAGAGAGGCAACAACGAAGCGAAGAAAAGCAAAGGCGGAAACAACGAATCAAGGAAGAAAAGGAAAGAATCGCATGTTGGTTCGGGACTATCAATTCGGAAAGGTGGTAGAGAGCGGAGGAAAAAAAGGAATGGGGAATTTTGGATCTTACACAATCTTTGACCTCTTTTGTCAAAATTAATCTCATTCTTCATGCATGCTTGGTTACATACCACCCAATTTTTAGATTTTCTACATATCTATTATTTAACACCTATTCTTTGTTTTTTTACATTTATACCACCCAAATTTTCATATCAAACAAAAATGTCATTATTTTAACTTTCAAAATGTGAAATAAAAATTTTTAATGCATAGATAAAGTGGCGAACGAATGTAAAAAATGAAGTTTTAAGCGTTAGATTATGTTAATCCATAAGAATTGTATGGTATGCATGTTAAATATTCCTTATTATAAAGCTCTCACTATGTGGATTGAATGAGCTGCTTTGCTTGAAATTTCTTATTTTTGGTCCAAATTATCCTTTATCGCAGGT